TGATTTATATTGTTTAAATATTGTTCAACTCAAACAAATGAAAGTTTTCAAGCTGCTAATCTTATCTAAATGGTTTGCTGGAATTGGCGCCCTCTAGTGGCCAGAATTGTTGGGCACCGTGAGAGATCTCCCTTCCAAACTCAGTCTGTTCTTTTCCTGTGTTGCGCAAACATGTAGAAGAACAGCCATGTAAATGCTAGTATTCCTCCATCGGTAACATTTAATGCACTATAAGCTGTGCTGGTTATTTACCATGTGCATTGTTATAGATTATATTGGCTAATCATAGTTGAAACTAAGAAAAAAACAAAAGCACAAAGCTCCCAACCCATTCTAAATACCTTATTATTGCTTTATACTTCATTGTACACTGTACTATGTGGCTGTCTGTTCTGTCTATAGCTTTGCTTGCATGTATGGTTCACAATTTGGACTCCTATTTGTCTGGTTGGGCAATATCTACACACATTACAAATCAGTGCTAGCAATTTGCATTTTATCCAGCCATCGATTCATTCATTCAGATCAATTGTAATTATATGTATTATCAATTGAATCTATACTGTGCCATTCTGACATGAACACTATACACATCAAAGTTGGTAACCATGACTATGTCATTGTCAGTAAATATTCAACCTAATTGTTCTCATTTAACAGTGTTATTTCCCACTCTACTGGAAACAAAGCTTCCTCAATGCTCTGTGTTTAAACGGCATAATGGAGATGCAGACACAAAGCCTATCAAGAAATCTCCAGAAGACATCCAATCATTTGGCCAAGATTTATGTAAATCAAAACAACAGTGCGGAGCTAGCAGCAAATTTAAATCTGGTACAAAGATGGAGTCTGATATTAAGCAAGCTATTGAGATTGCCAAAAGAAGACAGTTTATCACTCCTGTATTTAAGTGTAATCCAAGAAAGAAAGTGGGGCATGGATTTAGATCAAAAACGTCACTGTTCTTTAATCCCAGTTTGAATGATTGTCAGAAAGCAGCAGTTACCAGGATACTGCAAGGTCAGTCAAGACCAACACCATATGTGCTATATGGACCACCAGGTAAGTACAGGTTTTTATTCATACCATGAAGCAAGTGATTGATTCATTGATTGATTTGCTTATTTGTTTGTTTGTTTGTTCGTTCGTTCGTTTATTGAGATGTTCTTCAATATGAAGTAGTTTGGCCACATTCTATTTTTTTTTATTCAAGATATCATTTTTCTGAAGAACTTTTATGTGGGCATCTTGGATAAATGTAAGATTCTCAAGATACTTTTTAAAATCACTTTATATGATTTGCATTGCAGGTACTGGTAAAACGGTCACTGTTGTTGAAGCCATACTCCAAGTGTTTCACAATATGTCATCTAGTAGAATTCTTGCATGTACTCCGTCTAATAGTGCCGCTGACTTGCTGGTAAGAAAACTTTATTATTACGCCACTGATGTTTTTACTATGTCTATAGAATTGTTTTCTTATTAGTATTGTATAGTCCTCAATGCTGATTGGTCTGTGCTGTACGTGTCAAATACATTAATCCTCAATGCTGATTGGTCTATGCCATGTTAGATACATCATTCCTCAATGCTGAACAATTAATATAGCACAAAAGTTGATGCATTTAAGTTATTTAATATACAGTATAATAAGGACTGAAAGTGTAAGAGACTGCTATTGCAAAAATAAATGATTACACATATCCAACATATGAATCAATCATGGTAGATTCTTCCATAAATCATAACTTTGTCTCTGCATGGCATTTTGTCTGCACTGACACAACTCACTGTTGTCAATTGTATATGTCAGCTGTGAATTATCAATTTTAGTCCTTAAAGCTGTATGTGTGGTCTTTAATTTTCAGACTCAGAGATTACATCATAGCGGTGCTGTACTAATTTCAGATATGGTTAGACTGAATGCATTTCAAAGAGCTGAAGAAGTAAGTCATTTGTATATCATTGAACACGTCACAGATGATCTGGTGTTAACCTCTGAAACAAAAA